AAACAATTGCCTTGAAAACTGCAAGGACTCGTCCAAGCAGTCACTGCAGAGTCGGTAACAACTGAGCACAGATTAAAAATAATAATAATAATTGCACTACTTGCAGTTATACTCATCCAGTAGCAGAATCAACCGCTACAGTAGCAGTTACTGTACAAGTCTGTACAGAAATCCCAGAAGTCTCAAAGGACAAGGGATACAGCGTCCCTTGGATAGTGCCTTTTCTAACCAGCCAGATTCTATAATACTGGAATCAACATATTTGTACTTCAACTTCTGTGCGAGGAATTAGCATTTGCAGGGGAGAAGGATAAGACATCTGGTGCACAGAACAGAAACTGCACCAACAGGTTCACAACAGGACCTAATATTTCATTGGGAAAGGATAAGAACTAGAGATGGGTGTTTAAATGAAACCCAGAGATGTAAGCATGATCTCTACAAGAATTCCTGGGATTCATTATGTGGCTAAAGGAAGAGGCAGCAAGATGAAGCCTTGGCTTTCTAACCATCTAGAGTGCTGTGGGGCTCCTTCCCGGGCCCTGGGCTGTTCACCATTTTTTTCGGTTACTTGGATGAGGAAGTTGAGGGTATGCGTTTCAAGTTTGCAGATGACACAGATCTGGGAAGAATGTTAATTTAATTTAATTTAATTTAATTTAATTTAATAACAATGTATTAAACTTGTATGTCACCCAACTCTCAATGACTCTGGGTGACTCATAACAATCAAACAAATTAAAATAAAATCAATAAAAGATAAAAGATGGCAACACAATGAGGGGTGAAGTGAGTGGCGTCACTCTCCCTTATCAAAGGCCTGGGCAAAGAGCCAGTTCTTCACGGCTCTTCTAAGCAACAGCAGAGTGGGGGCCATCTGGATATTGGGAGGTACCTCATTCCAGAGGGCAGGCACTACTACAGAGAAGGCATGCTTCCAGGGTCCCAACAGATGGCATTGTTTAATTGAAGGAACCTAGAACACACCAACGCTGCAGGATTGAATCAGCCAGGTGGATGTTATGGGAGATAGAAAGAGAGAAGATTCAACAGACTTGAGTAGTAGACTGAAGTTAATAGGATGGAATTTAACAGGGAGAAACGTGAAGATCTGCATCTAAGTAAGCAAAATATAAGGCACATATAGAATGGAGGAGAGCTGGCTTAGCACTATTACATGTGAAAGAGAACTGGATGTCCTTGGCAGTCATGAGTTAAACATGAGCAATCCAGTGTGATGCAGCTGGTAAAAAAGGCAAATGCTCTATTGAGTTGCATTAACAGAACCATAGAGTCCAGATCATGGGAAGTAAATGTTCCACTCTACTCTGCCTTCATCAGGCCCCATTTGGAGTACTGGATCCAACACTGGATACCACAGACAAAAGGGACAGTGACAAATTAGAGCAAGTTCAGAGGTGGGTTAATAGAACGATGAAGGGTCTAGAAAAGGTTAAAGGAACTGGGTATGTTTAGCCTAGAGAAGATAACCAAAGGGAAATATGGCAATAATTTCAAATATTTGAAGGACAGTTGCACAGAAGAGGGACTAGACTTAAACCTTCTGTTGCCCCAAAGGGGAGAACCAGTGAATTAAGACTACAAGGGAGGAGGTTCATGCTAGACATCAGGAAAATGTCCTGACCATATGAGCTGTCAGCCAGTGGAACAGGCTGCTGCATGGGAGAATTCTTCGTGAAATGCCTTCAGAGGCTGGACGGTCATCTAACAGAAATACTGTAGTGGATCCTGCTCTGAACAGGAGGTTGGATTAGATGCTCTTTATCCTCTCTTCTGTTTGTCTCCATATTTTACCAAATCCTTTTGCTCTGATAATAAGTTGTTTATTTCTAG